TGAGCACGTGTTCCATTTGGGCGTTCCCTCAGAGTAAGCAGCCAGAGCCACTAGTCCACCTCCCACCCCACCCCGTCAACAACTTTTCCCCGTAAGTACCACAAAAACGAGTTATCTTCCACAACCAGAGAGGGAAGTACAACAACCACATGATATCCTCTACAACACCATGTTATCAGTGATTCAGAGATAACCTGTATATTGAACTCTCTATCTCCTGTTTTGTATTGAAGGCTTTTGTTAAATAATTGATTCCCTAATGTCATTATACATAATACTGTAGGTTATTTTTTTCCTTTGTTGAATTTTTTTAGCCTCTGACTATTGTATACGTTTCAATAAACTGGTAATTATTATTATGATTACACGCGTACGCACACACACACACACGTACCCTCCACACACACACACACACACACACACACACACACACACACACACTTCTCACTGTCTTTGTTTCCTGTGTAATGTTTATCATGATCATAACTTCAAGACAAACATTACCATTCGTACCCCCACACAACCATTCCTTAACCGATACAAAATCTCCAGTATTCCTTCCAACGTTTTATCATCTTTACTGTCTTTGTGTAACGTGATCACGGAGCAGAACTATGATTTACGTAGCAGGAACGACACACTGCCTCTTACGACACTGTTACTTATATCTATTCAAAGGTTATGCTATGTCTTGTATTGGGTAAGAGAAATATTTCGTGGGTGTAGAGGTGCCGAGCTGGCTGCTGCTGTTGCGCTATACACGAGGAGCTGTAGCTTACGAGAGGAGGAGGGAGCACTGTGTCACTTGTATGAGAGAGAGAGAGAGTATGTGTGGTATTTCGACTATGCACAGACGGGAGATACTATTAACCTTTTCTACTTAAGTCATAGAATAAGCAAATTTTAGTGTGTTTGTGTGTGTGTGTGTGTTCATTCACCCAAACATTCACGCACACACACACATCATGTCCAGAGTTGATATATATATACAAAATTATGTATACTTTGATTTTTTTAAGAATAAAAACGTAATGTCATTTTATTTTGGGATGAGGGAGCAACGGAGGAAAGGGAAAGAGGAAGGGAGGGAGGAGCGGGGGTAGGGAGGGAGGCAGAGTGAAGAGGGAAGGGAGGAAGAGAGGGAAGAAGGGAAGGCGGAGACGGAGAGAGAGGGGAGGGGGAAAAGAGAGAGGGAGGGAAGGAAGGATGGAAAGAGAAGAGGGAGGGAGGGAAGGAGGGAGGGAGGGAGGGGACAAGAGACCCGACGCGAGAAAACTTGACTCTGTGGATGCTCTTGTTCACGAGTCCAACTTCGGCTTTACTGCGTCTGTATATCGAAAACCTATGGAAAGTGGGACGGCGGGCTATCCACTGTTTTAGCACCTCGACTCCTGGTTGGGCTACCTCGTCAACGCCTACTAAGTGAGAGAACTCTGTTTCTTTCTCCTTTCTGCTCATTTTCTTGGTGATCGTGTACTGTATTTTAACATATCAGTCGCCGTTATGATTTAAGGTAAAGATAATGTTACTACTTTTGAGCTTTTGTTACCAGGTTCCTATGTAAGAGAAGCACAAATAGCTCCCTCTGATGTTGTTCGATTGTCAATATTTACTTATGCGAACGTTTATGACTTTGATACGTAAGGGTGAATAGGGCTGCCAGTGTGAGAGTCTGTGTTATGGGGACTGTTGTATCTCCCATTGTAATGTTTCACCATCACCCTCATGCACGCTGATGACAAGTGGGGTCGTGACTCGTGACTGTAACAAATTTTATGTAAAAGATTAGACGAATTATCCAGTCAGTGAAAAAAGGAGAAAGGGTAAGTAAGGCAGAGAAAGAGAGGGAGAGTGGACGGGTAAGAGGAGGAGGAGGGTGAGTCGTGCCACCAGGTGAGTCGAGGAGATCAACAGGTAATTACGTGTCCATCACGATAAGTCTGACAGGTAGCTACTTCATCTGAGCCATTTTTTTTTTAATTTTCGTTGCTATTTTCTTCTGCTTTGGAATTTTTACCACTTTCATGTTTTATTGATATTTTGTTGTACGTTTGCATGAATTAAATATACATCCCAAATGTTTTTCTATAATATACCATAAAAAGTGAAGTCAGAATTAAAATTTGGCTAAAATACCTTCTGCTATTGGTGTCATTAAGTTAGCGTATATTCACATGATATTTATACAACCAAGTCGTTTTATTACTCTCTCTCTCTCTCTCTCTCTCTCTCTCTCTCTCATACGCAAGATAACTTTTTTGCCACACGCGCGTTAAAAATTCGGTCTTATATGCGTAAAATAGGAGGCAGCAGAACCTTGCCAATGTGGATGCCTTAATTGCTAGCCACTAATAGCGTCCCCTTTACCATTGAGACTATTCCCAGGAGACTAAGGCTTCAGTCTGGCCCAAATGGAATGACATGAATAAGAGATAAGGAAACTGCCTGTATCCCCTGGTATCTCCCATTACCACTGATGATCCGAGAGGCGGTAGGGTGATGAGAGGAGGAAGAGAGACAATGGGTGAGAGATAATTAATATGTAGAATGATAAGGAAGGAATGGAGGGGGAGGAATGGGTGTGAGAGACAGGAGGTGTGGTGTGGTGGTGGTGTGGTGTGGTGGTGGTGTGGTGGGTGTGGTGGGTGTGGTGTGGTGTGGTATCGAGAGAGAGAAAATGAGTTTTAGAAGGAAGAGATTAGTTAGACGATAAGGAAGAAAATACTGAAAAGCGACAGAGAAAGAGAAACAACAAAGAGATATTACGTGCGAGGAAGAAAATAAAGGATATAGAAAGAAAGAAAATGAGAAAAAAGAACATGGGGAAACAGAGATATATAGAAAAATAGAGAAATATATAGAAAAAGAGCAAGATAGTTGGTGATAAAGAGAGAAATGAGAGGCAAATAGAGAGAGAAATATAAAGAGAGACTAAACATCATCCTCATTATTATCAACATACGGTGTTAATATCCCCACGGTCTTATCTTGTCAAGCGCCTCGTTGGGAGTAATTGGATGAAGAAAAAAAAATGCCCCTATTAAGTTTCAGTCCCAATTTTCTCTGTTCCTCATTTCTTGAAAGTCAGATGGAAATGTAGGCTTTTGGGGGCTTTTTTTTTAATATTCTCGGGTAAACTTTCCTTTAATTAGAAATGAAGACTTGACAGGTGGTTCTTGATGCCAGCTGATCTAGGGGGTGAGGGGGGAGGGAGGGTGTGGGAGGCAGGAGGGGGAGAGGGGAGGGTGAGGAGTGGAGAGGGGGGAAGGGAGGAGGAGGGAAATGGGGAGTCTACACCTCCCTAGTCTTTTTTAAGTCGTCTCTATTTTATTCTTAATTGTTACATTGACTCTTTATCTTTCACGGCATGTACAATCCACTCCAAAAAACAAAAACTATCGATACAAAATTTTATTGAAAAAATATGACACAACGGACGAAGGATTTTGACAGCCCTACCGAGACAACAGGAGTCGTAGTGTTCATTCTGAAATTCATCGATCACCCCAAGTAGAGATAGTTTATTTGAGTGGCTATACAACAAGAAAGGAGTTGTTTTGGAATATTGCAACTAAGTTTTTTGAAAAGAATCATAGAATATTTGATTTTCCTTTTGACTGTCTTTAGTGTGTGTGTGTGTGTGTGTGTGTGTGTGTGTGTGTGTGTGTGTGTGTGTACCTATTGGCCCCTCTGATGGTAATGTTAGGATCCTCTCACTAATATCAGGATGGATTTAATACCTTTCTTGTCGATACTTAAACCTGTTTCATTCCCACTAACTGAATGACAAATTCCTTAGCGTATCCCCCGTACTGACGTAAAGGGATTCACACACACACACACACACACACACACACACATTAAAGGTGTTTGTATATGAAGAAATATTAATTATAAAAACCCAACATTTTCAAACTAATACTGTATACCTGAATGCAATCACTTATGACCTTTTAACTTTGCAACATTAAAAAAATTACACAACTCCTCTATCTGCATTTGTTGGGCGAACTGGGTCACAAAACTTAAAATGAAAACAAAATATCTTCTTGTGGATTTTAGTTCAGATTGGACAAAATATTGAGAATTGACAGGAGATAAAAATCGTGGTTGTGCGACACTGTTTCACGCTTGATCCCTGTCAGGTGAATAAAAATCAAAGTTAGAATAATACCCACGTTGTTGTGTATAGGATTTGTCGTGAGTTTTATTTTGACCCCCCAAAAAACTTTCATCCGTATAGATTAAGATGCGTCACACCTGTAGATAGAAATACGTTTTGTTATAGCGTTTGACCTTTGATCTCCCACACTCACCTCTATCCTCCCCACTACCATTCCCGTTACTCATCCTTCCCGTCTTTCACCCCCTTCCTTCCCCATCCCTCCCCCCCCCCCTATAAAAAAAAAGAAAAGAGGGAATTGGCTAGGGTCGGAAAATCCACAAAAATGAAAAGGTTGTTTGAACGAAATTTGAGACAGATACCCAAGGTGTGAAGAGGGTCGACGAAGAACAATAGAAATGACGACGACCAATTGTAATGGTTTGAAAGGAATACAGAAAGAAACAAAAGAAACTAAGAAAAAAATATAAGAGAAAAGAGGAATAACGAAGGAAAGAATGAAAGAAAAATTAGAAGTAGGGATCGGATGAGAAACGTTATATAGGAAGGCGTAAAAGAAAAAATAAGTATTATGTCACTGTACTAGAGTCAAACACCCCCCCCCACATTGTGAAGGTATAGAGGAGCCCATCCCCTTTAACCATCGAGTCGGTTGACCTCCCAAAGGAGACGGCAAGTTCACCTCTCACATGTTATTGACACCCACCATCGCTAATGTTACAGACTACCTCCTCATTACTGACTTCCTACCACACATTACTTATTACTTTCTTCTTCCTTCTACACGCTACTGAGTACTTCCTCCTCCTTCCTACCACACACTGCTGAGTACTTCCTTCTTCCTACCACACACTAACTCCCTGGGTCTCTCTCGCAGGAGGTGCTGGCGGTGTGTCCATCGTAAGGCTGACGGTGCCGGAAGTGGTGAAGACCAACACGACGGCTGTGGTGCTTGACTGTGACTACCAGGTGGACGAGTGGGAGCGACCAGGCCTCGTCGTCAAGTGGTGAGTCATCTAGCTGGGTAGGTCAGTGATGAGTCACCTAGCTGGGTAGATCAGTAGTGAGTCACCTAGCTGGGTAGGTCAGTGGTGAGTCACCTAGCTGGGTAGTTCAGTGGTGAGTCATCTAGGTAGGTAGGTAAGTGATGAGTCACCTAGCTGGGTAGATCAGTGGTGAGTCACCTAGCTGGGTAGATCAGTGGTGAGTCACCTAGCTGGGTAGATCAGTGGTGAGTCACCTAGCTGGGTAGTTCAGTGGTGGTCATCTAGCTAGGAAGTGGTGAGTCACCTCTAGATCAGTAGGTGGGTAGTTCAGTGGGGAGTCAGTGATGAGTTACCTAGCTGGGTAGTTCAGTGGTGAGTCATCTAGCTAGGTACGTAAGTGGTGAGTCACCTAGTTAGGTAGATCAGGGGTGAGTCACCTAGCTGGGTAGTTCAGTGGTGAGTCACCTAACTGGGTAGATCAGTGGTGAGTCACCTAGCTGGGTAGTTCAGTGGTGAGTCATCTAGCTGGGTAGGTCAGAGATGAGTCACCAAGCTGAGTAGATCAGTGTTGTCACCTAGCTAGGTAGATCAGTGGTGAGTCATCTAACTGGGTAGGTCAGTGGTGAGTCATCTAACTGGGTAGGTCAGTGGTGAGTCATCTAGCTGGGTAGGTCAGAGATGAGTCACCAAGCTGAGTAGATCAGTGTTGAGTCACCTAGCTAGGTAGATCAGTGGTGAGTCACCTAACTGGGTAGATCAGTGGTGAGTCACCTAGCTGGTTAGGTCAGTGCCGTAGTAAGCCATCTAACCTAACCTCACCGGGGTGTTCATGACGGGGTGTTTGTGTGTTCAGGTACGTGGACAAACTCCATCTGGTGTACCAGTGGATACCGCCGCTGCGCCCCCAGGCCCTGGGTGTGTTGAGTGGCCGGGTCAACACCACCTACGAGGCCTCTAGGGACCCCTGGGCCGTGCACCGGGCCCTCTACATCCCTCACCCGGACCCCTCATTGTCTGGCCAGTACTCCTGCTCCGTCAGTACCTTCGAGGATGAGGACACCCGCACCGCACACCTCCTCGTCTGGAGTGAGTCTCTCCTTTAGTTGTTTAGTTTTATTCAACGTCTCTTGTTTACCTCCATTTTTATCTCATTCCTCCATGTTCACTTATTCTTCTATCTATCTCCAGTTGCTTTATCTCCTCTTTTGTTTACCTCCATTCATTATCACTCGTTTCTATTAACCTTCCTTTACTCTCAATCCTTCATCTATTGTTTATCAGTTATTTGGTTATTGTTTATGACTTATCTTCAGCTACTCTTACGGCAAAGTTTGTTTTTGTGAGTCATTCTTCGGCAAGGTTTGTATTTGCTGCTTACATATCAACACATGACTTACTCTTTGGGTAAGTTTGTGTCGTCTTTTGAGGCAGTCAGAGTTTGTCTTTGTTTCTGAGTCAGGTGTTATTAGTATTGTATGTTGTTCTTGTGTTGAGTTTGTGTTTGTTTATCAGGCAAGTTAATCCAGACATATGAACGGTAGTGACTTGGTTCTCTTATTGCATTTAAGGGTTAGCTAGACAGTCAAATTTGTATTCCAATAAAAATACATCATTGTTTTTAATTTATCCATCTATCATTTTAATTTTTGTCTCGTATTTTTTCCTTAACTCTTTTACTTACATGATAATTTCACCTTTACCATTGAAATTACCTTTACTAATTAGTTTTTTTGCAGGTATCAACTCGGTATTGCTAACCTATGTCTACTTTCTCTACCTTCTCTACCTCGACACCAGAACCGGCCAACTTCGTAGACCTCAAGTACTGGAGACCTTCTGAGCACCTGGTTAACATTACCTGCTTGGCCTCCGGTGTATCGCCTAGACCTGAGTTCACCTTATATACGAAGGACCCCAATGGCACCAGGTGAGGTTTAGGGAGGGTGGTAGGGGGGAGGGGGGGAGGGAGAGGGGAGGGAGGGAGGTGTGAGGGGTGGAGAGTGGGAGAATGAGGGGTGGAAATAAAGGGTGAAGGAGAGTGAAGGAATGCAGAGAAGACGAAGAGATAGCGAGTGATATGAAGGGAGAAATACCATCATGTAACACACCATCAACACACACAAAATCATCAACTAACATCATCAACATCAACATCATCAACTAACAGTCCTTGGCGTGACACAGGTTGGAGGTGGACGTCCGAGGAATATCAGGTCATCGTAAGGACGGGGAGTGGTGGGCGGGGGCGTGGGGGCTGATCGTGTGGGCGGACACTGAACCTGACACTATCATTGGCTGCAGGCTCACCCTCCCCGGCACCTCCCACACTGAAACCAGGAAGAAGGTCTACCGCCCAGGTGAGTACATTAGTGTCTTATTATCTTCCTTATACTACTTGCAGCTTACAAGAATTCCCTCCAGGTATTTTATTATCTTTATTTAATATGACTCAGTTTATCTTTTTCTACCTGCTGTAAGTACTCGTATATCTTCACTAAAACACTAAACCCTTTTACCTGTGTGTATCTGACTATTATTTAGAATTATTTAATATTTCTATCAGCATCGACTTTCTTACAAACTGTGGCTATAAATATGCAAATACCTTACTTGTTTTCCACAACTCGCCATATCGGAAAGGCTAATGAGGTGTCAATAGACGGTGCTTACACGACAAACAAGAACCAGTGAGACGCCTGTTTCAACCTTATCCTGTGTGGGGAGTTTTTCTGTGACTCCTGCTTCTTCTCCTCCTCCTGCTTCTCCTCCTCCTGCTTCTCTTCCTCCTCCTCTCTTCCTCCTCTCTTCCTCCTCCTACCTGCTGTGCACAACAAGGTCACACCCACAGCTCCGGCACAAGTCAACAAAACCCTCACGTCTTTCAATAACCCTCTTTCAAACACCCCCTACCTGCGTAAACAAGCACCTGAGTCCCTTCCAGCTGATTGATATTCCCTCCCACCTGTCTCTTAGCGTATGTAAACAAACCTCACCTGTGCCACATATATTCCAGTCATTTATATTACCAAGGAATCTATTTTTATGTAATGTATTTTACCTGGCTGGAATTTATCACCTAACTTGTATATAAATTAGTTAACAGTCTCTTCAGGTATAGGTAAACTTATATTTTACTAACTTATAAGACATTTAAGCCACGATGACACACCACTAAGGCAGAGCTAACAAGATACACCCCGTCTCCTTTACATGCATTATGAAACAAAATGCTAAACCTACTCTGGCGTATCTCAAACACGAATTTAACCATACCACAAACTACCTTTTACCTGCCCCCATACGATTGTCCAACCAAACCAAACCAAACCTAACCTAACCTAACCTAACCTAACCTAACCTAACCTAACCAAACCTAACCTAACCTAACCTAACCTAACCTTGCTCCTGATCACAACAACAATATACTCAACTGAAACCTGATCCACAAATTTGTCTATATTTCTCAACATACATTAAGCTATTGTCTGTTTATAAGTAAGAAAGCAAGAATCATGGTGAGAGGAAGTACTGTGAACCTGATGTAAATGATAAGTTATTTAAGGTGAGGTGAAAAGGTTGGAAGAGATTTGGAATAGAGACAAAAAAGCAGATAATTTAGTAGATATTAATGGCAAATTATCATCAAATTCTCACACAACTTGTAAGAGAAATCGAAATTATTATGAAAGTTAAATAAAAAAAAATGCTAAAGAGACAAATGAATGAAGAATAGATTATAGTCAAGGAGGAAGTAAAGAGATAGGAACAAATGCCAATAGGAGACTTGAATATGTAATAGGCAAGGAGATAAAGATTGCCAAAATAGACCAACTATATAAGAGAGTACTGAAGGGACACACACACACACACACACACACACACACACACACACACACACACACACACACACACACATAGCCACTCTCATCTCTTGTGTGTGTAAAGGAACAAAGAACAGAACCATCAAGGGAAATCTATACGGACATACGTAATAAAAAAGGTAAATTAATTAGTTGATGAAAGGTATAATGGATATAGAGAGACGAGAAAGAGAGAAGATACAAGGAAAGGAATGATATTAAGCATTTATTGGCTTTAAGGATTTGTGAATCTTCTTAGCTTGCCGATTGAATTGAAACATGAATAGTAAATCAACAGCTGAAAGGGAGTCGGGTTTTTCTTTTAAGACTGTGGTGGTGAGGGTTTGAGGTAGAATAAAAATTTAATAAAAAAAAATTCTGGGTTGAGATAGAGCGTTTGGGGTAATATATTCTGTAAGCTTGTTCACTATGTAATACACGGGCTGGTGAGGAAGGCGGTGTAGAGGAGGAGGAGGCAGGAGGAGGAAGAAGTGGAAGATGAATAGAGGCACTGGAAGCATCAGGAATTAATAAAAAGAATACCTATGATATTTTACCATTAAGCTGATTAACCAATTACATCGTTTTGTTCAGGATTTAAAAAAATAAAAATAAGAGATAAGAAAGTTTGATAAGAACATCAGAGAGAACACACGGTGATAATCAGAAAAGTGATTCAATGACGAGACACAACAGAGGATAGGTTAGGTTAGGTGAAAATTACAAACATCAATGGAAATAAAGTTGTCAAGAGGAATAAGAAGCTGGAAATTGGAATCCTGAAGTGCCTTTAATGTTAAGAAGTGTAGAAGATCTGAGAGAGGTAACGAGGATACGGACCGTGACCTGAAGAGTGTTGTAAGGCGTAGGTGTATGTTGCAAGGTGTGGGGTGCTGTGTGTGTGTTAAGATAGGTTGTGAGGTTATGAGGTCAGAGAGGAACGATTTAGATGGGTCCTCAGGCTAATAAAACAATGCACGAGTCTTCTTTGGGATGAGTAAAGACGAAATATGGACGAGTCTTCGGAAGAACAGTGGATTAAACAAGACTCACTTTATAGGAAAGAATTACCCCCTCTGAACCTTTAGTGAGACAAAAACGTAGGAATTTGTTGAAGGTTTTGATCGTCGATGGAACAAGAGGCAGATTTATACATTTTATGTCCATCCAAATCAATTTTCTTTCTTTTGGTTTCAAAAATAGTTCCCTCGTGGTGTACCACGAAATTTCCCCATGTTCCAATAACGAATCGTACATATTTTTCTTTTTTTTAGCCAAAAACGCTTCTTGCATAACAACCATGGGAGTACTACAGCATGGTATACACCACGGCTGATCTTGCATATGGGCCTAAGAGGCTGCATGATGCTGGAATAGAGAATTGCATCAAGGATCATGTACTGTAATAATGAAATAACCGAATTCAAAGTTCCAGAAGTTATTTGAGTTAATGATATACGTAAGTCATGTTATAGAAAATCACTGGATGAAGAAAATTCACCCGGTGATTTTATATAGCAAACGCGATCCCGCTCTTCAACACGTGAGGTAACGGCGACTCACTTAGCGGTGACGTAAGACCCCCGAGTAAGTACAAAAACATCGATAACTTGTATATAAAACAGACTCGGACATACCTGAAGCGTGATGTGCTATGGTGTGTTACGGTCCCTTGATGAGCTGTTAACTTTCACCTACCTGGAAAAAAAACCAAGATTAACCTTCCATCCCACTTAACTCGTATCAACATTTTTGTAAATTTTAAGGAGAAAGTCGCCACCTATACCACGTTATATATTGGGTGGATCTCAAGGATATGTTTGTTGTAAGTCAAAAATGCTTACAGGTGGGAGAGGAAAATAATAATTACTATGAACCTGCATTAGTATCTTTAGAAATGTTCTTACGAAACGGCAACAGTTTATGGGGGCAACGGCAATTGGCGAGAGAAACCAACCAGACATAACCAAATCACATTCCCTCTTTCTCTCCTATGATATAAACATCGATGTATTACAGTAATATGTTTGCAAGACTCTACCCCCATTAAAAAAAGGTGATGACTCTCCTTAATCCTTACCATCAATTGTACTCTTTAACTAACAGGAATAATCATGATGCTAACAATATTATTAGTTAACACCAGATATTAATAATGGTATCTGTCCATCATATCATAATAAGAGCAGCAGAAGTAGCGTGCTTACCTTGCCCTGGTGGTAGAGGAAGCCTTGGCGTTACCCGTCATTTCTTGCGCCGCCAGGGACCATCCAGCCTGAAACAACATTCATGGATTAAGCCACAGTTCTACTTTCATTACTCCAATTATATACAACTTGATTGATATTTAAACCAACATTATATCAGTAACTTCCATATGCCAACAAGCATCAGTACAGCTACTCGATATAACTTGACACAGTGATGTAAAAGAAGTCATAATGGTTACAATCCAAAGAGTAACTCACTGACAAACCTACACTGACAACTTTCTGGTGCTGTGATTCTTATTCGTTTAATTAGGAATATGTTTCTACAACATTTTCTCTAAAACATTTTCCGGTTCATTTATCATTCCAGGCTATATGACTTTAATATACTGTACTCTATGTAAGTCCATCGTTATTATGTAATATTACCCTCAAGTTTCAAATGTAATTACCATTTTTCTGACAAGTTACATATTATTTACAGGAATTGGTACAAATAATTAAGATGCGACCATTCATTGTATAGTTAGTTTTATCAGGTGAAGGTTAGGTTAGGTTAGGAAACACAAAATAACGTTAAAATTTGGAATAGGTCAGCCATGATATCCGAGAGCCGCTAGGGAAGGTTGTTGCTGATCTTTTGTTTGGCAAAAAATTATTTCCTCTGTCATTTTAGGAATGTTCTTGATACACCGAAGAACTTTTCTTCTATTGAAAAGTGTCCTAACTCGGCTCCTTAATGCGGACACCTGTTATTTAATATTACACTGTTGAAGCTTATTACAATAGTTAGGTTAGGTTTCGTTAAGTTTGATTTTATCAATTTGGTGTATGGTTTTACCCCTTTAACTCAAAGCCCTGCCTACTTTTTGTGATCAAAATTGTATTTTTTTAATTAAATTCAAAGTTAAAAGAACTCGAAAAATATAAATTTCCGACGCGACCGACCGCCCAAGCGGCTAACGAGCCGATCAGTGATCGTCCATTGAGGCGGTGAATATGGAAAATATTTGTTTGCATATTCAGTAAAGAGATGGCATAAGAGTGGTGAATATGAATGTTATTTCAATTCATAGTTTCTATTCGATACATATTTAATCGTAACACAATTAATGTATAGCTATTCACTTTAACGTCCGATTTTAAATCTGTAAATTATTTCTAAATGTCCTTGAGTATAATCTGCTGTCATATTACTTCGTTTGAAAATATAATAAATTTTCCACGGCACGATTTGTTTTTACAATATTCTTTTGAGTCTTGTTTTAACATTTATCGATCAAACTC